AAGTTTAATTCAAAATGAAGGTTTCTGTAACGGTACATTCTGCTGCTGGTTTCCAGGGCCACACTGGTCTCTTCAACAAGTCGGACTTGTACGTCGAATGCCACTACGGTACCTTCCACTCATGGCACACCAAGACTGCCAAGGACGCTGGCTCCAGCGCAGATTTCGAAGAAACCTGGACCTTTGATTCCAATGACAGCCACTCTGAAATTACAATTAAAGTGCGCGATGCCAGACATCTGAAGCTCGACGAGACTCTGGCGGAAGGCGCTTTCAAGTTTGAGCAGAGACCTGGCTACTTCTACACTGGCGAAGTGGGGCTTGTTGACGAGAAACACGGCGATGAACCATCTGTTAGGTTGACTGTGAAGTGTGAGTAAATTAATTCGGTGCAAGCGAAGCTGTGGTGCGATAACACATTGAATTTTTTAGTATGGAACCGAGTATTGATAATTAGTGTGTGGTGTGAAACTGGACGGGGTGTGGGTCTTATTTTTGTGTGTGTGGTACAAATTTTGGGGTGTTGATGGAATTGAAGGTGTTGTTAAGCTGACGTGCTGAAAGCAGCCTGCAGCCGTTCGGAGGCGCAGTGTGCAAGATCCTATTCGCAGTAGCCAGATACTTAATACTCGGGATAGCTCCTGATACCTCTTGTTTAGACTAGTAATCGATCAAAAAAAATAAATTAAAACCTTGGTTCTCAAAGTAGACGAACATAAATGAAGTGTACCTCCTACAAGCAGAAAGGCTGCTGGCTGCTGATGCATTTGATTAGATCACTGGAGCTTGACACAGCAGCGCCACACCACAGGTTCAACTCACCGCCTGGGCCGTACAGGGCGCAGTATCCTTGACAAGTTTCAGTCCAGCAGTCCTGCGTAGCATGGATGGCAGTCACACACCCCGAGACCACATCGCCTCCTCCGTTGCTGTTGCCGGTTGTCGGAGCAGGTGTGGTGACAGCAGTAGTGACCACCCGGGCCGGGGTGGTCGTGACCACTTGGGCCGGGGTGGTCGGGAACACCGGGGTCGCGGCGGTCGTGACCACCGGGGCCGGGGCGGTCGTGACGACTGGAGCTGGGGTAGTTGTGACCACAGGACTGTTGCCGCCACAATCCACCCTCTTGAACGTGATCGGGGCGTTCTGAACTGCGCAACTGATCGTCTTATCCCCTCCAATGATTCCGTATTCGCACTGATCGGGAGTGTAAGCGCAAACCCCAGTTCCTGCACACACGTAAGGACACAAGTTAAGCCAAGCGGCCTGACCCATCTCGAATTTCGTTTCGGAACCATTGGTATCAAGCGTTCTCAAGTAGGTAGTCTTGACTGTACCGTCGTCGTACTTCATGTCCACCTTGTAACAGTTGCCACAGTTCTCTTTATTCACCTCCCATCCCCCATTAAACGTCGAGAGACAAGGACGCTCAACAGAATCACCGCAAGGACCATCCATCTCCCAAGTCTCCACTTTGTGGTTGCAAGCACCGTAGTCTCCTTCGTAGTAAATGTGGCAACGACCTAAACAAGACTGCTCCAATCCCATTGGATCAACACCAGACACACAGGTACCATCCATGAAGTCCGCAGAAGCGATCACAACCACAGCAGCCAATCTCATCATCTCTTGTAATTCTACGATAACATTCATGTCCACGTCTCGTCTCCTCCAGTGAGCAGGGCTGCCACAACAGAATTCCGCACTAACAATGTCCCTGCAGGCTTTATATTATTTCGAGGTGATTCTTCTCAATTTCGAAAAAACATCAGACTCCCAAAAGCCCTGACCCCAGTACATTTTCATGCGATCGGATTATAGTAAAGCCCGTCAAGCTTGTGTGGCGACCTTGTGTGGCCACCAGCAGTCCCGAAAAGTGCCTCACGGTTTCCTGCGCTTCACTGCTCGCCATACAAGTTCCGGATCAGGGTAGAGATCTTGTGCTCCCCTTCTCACGAATTCTCTTAGCTCCACCAGCCACTGAGTGCTTAATGCCACCGCAGACAAATGGAATCGATGATTGCTTCTCCCTTCTCGAATAAGACTACCGCGTTCCCCAGGCTCATTCTGGACCCATGGGGGAAGCACAACATACGAGTGCTTAGTGCTCTGACGAACAAAGAGACCGTTACTTATGCACTCATCACCGTCAGGACATTTCCATCTTTGAATACCACTCACTATTCTACCTCCATATTTTTCAGTAAACTTCTTCATGGCCCTCCGATGCCAGACATTAAAGACATTGCCCCAGCCGCCAGTAAACCTTCCAAGTACGGGGGCATTTTCCCAAGCGCCATAGGTTTCCAGTAGCGACTGTCGATATTCGTCACCCAGCTCATGAACGAGTTCTCCTAATCGATTTAACTGTCCCTTCTTCATTTTGTACATACTATCTCCCTTGACCGTCCATTGCAGACGTAATACCTCCCATTCCGGATCTACCTCATTAAGCTGCTTTATTACTCGATCCAACGTGGAGGGAAGAATCCCACACAAAGGTGCCGCCACATCGTCCTCAGCAAGTATCATATACTCGTAACCCGCTCAACACCATATTTGAACGCATCAAACATCGTAAGACAGCATCCTATCTCACCAGGAAAAGCTTTGAAATGCTTTTTTGTGGCATTGACAAGATTCTCCTTCGAAAATTCCTGTGGATCCAGATCGTGATCCAAGCGGGACAACAATTCTGTGGCATTCCGACCATCAACGGCCCGAATTCGGATAGCTTCAGGGAACATCTCCGTCAAGCGCATTCGACGCTCCACTTGGCTATCCAGATTCATATACAGGATCGGGATGTTCTCAAATCCGCATCGCGACACTTCGTTATATGCTGTCACGATACTAAAAAGGGACAATGTGGAAAGAGTCAGATAACATGGTATTAAAAGGAAGCACAAGGAGGCGTGCAAGCAAAAACTTCACTGGTGCTTACCTGACCAACGGAAAAATACGCATAAAAAAATACGTGTGTTAGCACTAGTATGTGGGATACACAAACGGACAGCCCACTTTGGAGGCTTAGCGTGGTCCATGACTTGGTCACCCATGCGCGCATGGAACGGTCAGAACGTTGTTACGCTTGTGGGACTTCTCCAGCGTTCTGCTCCTACTGACATCTACTCCTCAACAAGCTTCTGTAGCGAGGGAGCTCAGAGTAGGATCTCCGCTGAAACTTCAGTACCTCAGGTGAAGCTTCGGTACTTCAGTTGAAACTTCACTACCTCAGTTGAAACTTCACTACCTCAGTTGAAACTTCACTACCTCAGTTGAAACTTAACTACCCCAGTTAGTTGAAAGCCTGCTCGTGCCATAGTCGCTCATCGCACGCGCCTGGAAGGGGGCTGAGTCGAAAGCTTCCGTCATGAGTCTCGTTTCACCAGCCTGGTTGCTGAGCACACTAAGTGCACACTAACTAAGGCCTCCCAATATTCGACGTTCTGGCTAGCAACGTCAACGTGCACCCAGACCCGCGACGTCTATCGCCTTCACACCCGCGTGTGCTCACATTTCTCGCAAAAACACACGCCCGGCTAGGGGCCGCCTCGGCCGCGGCCGCGACCGCCACGGGGTGCCTGGACGGCCGCATTCCGGCCACTGGCGGTGGCTCCCCCTCGGCCGCCCCCACGGGCGCCTCCTCGACCGCCTCCCCGTACGCCGCCTCGCGGGACGGGTTTGGGCAGTGCCCGGGCGCGCTCAACCACTTCGTCCGCGAACCGGATGTACTTCACGCCATTACCGCGCACATAAACCGACCTGACTTTCCAGAACCGCGTTCCCTCAGCGTTCGTCCGGATGACTTCGCTTAATGTCATGTTCATGTGACTGTCATGCGACTCCAACCGTCCCGAGAACGTCTCGCCAGACTTCAACTCAACCAACACTGCATTCGACTTCGCCGCCTCCAACAGCGTCAACGGCAAAACCATTTTTTTCAACCCCGACAACCGGCCTCCTCCGGACCGGCATTTGGCTCGGACCGTCGTTTGGCTCGGGCCTTTCACCCCCTCATTTGGCTCGGACCTTTCACCCCGTCATTTGGCTCCGACATCGGCCCTTTGGTCTTTAGGCCTCGTATTTTACACCCATCGTCACGAGCCTTCGCGCATTGCACCTTCACTGATTCTCATGAGGCTGCGATGTTTCCCGCGATCGACCAAGAATCCTCTGAAGGATGCCTACTTCACGCTGGAGCAAAACGCCACTGATTTGTATCCCCAATTGCGTTGGCAACATTTGTTAAACGACATCTCGTGTGACACACCGGCCGCACCGTTTATGCACGGGCGCAAGAAAAGGGCTCTGGTTGACCCTTCTCCTGGGCGTTTTGAAGAGCTCGCTGACCTGACTGTGGTGGAAGAGACGACGGATGCAATAGACGTACAAAAATCAGATTCGGACACATTCACCTTTGGTGCGAACAGTCGTGAAATCGTGTCTACTCAAAACAGTCCGGTTAGCCACGAGACCAATAGCATTTTCAGTTGCTGTTTGCAACACTTAGCCGACACTTTTGACTTCGACGAAGATCTGTGCCAAGCCCCAAATTATTAATGACAACCCCCCCACACTGGGCCGCTGGCGAGGATACACCTGCTGCTTATGCGAGCGGAAGTGCCTTTGTGCAGGCAATTGAAACATTACAATCACAGCGCATGGAACTGCACCAACTCCAACAGGATTACAAAGCTCTAGAACTCCAACTTCAGGATTTAAACACCAAATCCAACTACCAGATTCTGGTTCCCGTCTGCGGCTCAAATCAAGTTCTCATCCCAGGGCGCATTATCAACACAAATGCCGTCCTATGCCAACTTGCTCAAGACCATTTCGTACGAAGGACTCCAGATAACTGCCATCATAAATCAGTCACGCAAAGAAGACAAAGTAATCCCCTTGTCATTCCTAACATACCGACCATTCCCAACGGAACAAACGTTTATTTCCCGTAGTGGCAGACGCATTGTTGGAAAATCATGATAGACAAATCAAAGATCTCCAGGACAAGCAAAACGTGCTGCAGCAGGAGCGTAGCTCGGAAACAATTCAGACGGCTAAGGGATCTGTAACGCGTAACGCAGAAGGGTACCTTGAAATTATCGAAAGGGAGGACGACGTTTCAAGACATTCCAAAGCTCAATCTATTGAGGAAGTGAAGTCCATAGCTGAAACGGAGCAACCTAAGGACCAGATTACGAAGCCCAAATCTTTGGTGGGAGAAGTTGTCGAACGGGATCCGCCTGTAAGGAATGCAGTCGTTAAATGCGTGCCTGTAATAGGACGGGTACCTCTTGTTGAACGCATGCCCGCCGCAGAGCGGAACCCAACTACAGTTGCGCCCACGCCAACAGAGACTATTCAGAAGAAGAGCAGGTTCGCGCAAGAATTCGGTCGCTAGCTTTCACTCTCTAGCTCTCACGGTTTTTTTTATAGGACGTACTTCGCCACTGATGACCAAGTCATCTCACGCGGCCAAATCCTCTCAGACGACCAAGTCCTTACGGCAAGTGGACTACCGCATCGGCGGACTCATCCGCGTTTTGACGTTACAACGAACAGAGCCCCCCGTCCCGAGGTTCGCCTGTCGTGCATCTCGCCAAGCATTTGTGATCTTTATTTGAGTGTTCGTCTCCGTCTCTGGCTCTGCTCCCGGTTGAGCCTCACTCATGTTTCCAATCCACACAACGTGGTGGCCCATTTGTGATCTGGAACCAGATTACTGACGTGGACGCACACTGTTAACACTAGACTACTCGCGAGCAGCCTTCATACGATGACGCTCCCCCCCCCAAAGAGGGTCGGGTGGTCCACAGAGTCCGGTGTTCCAGAAAGTCCGGTAAGGACCTGTCTGCCCGTCGCTCCGTGTCCGTTGGTCCGGTCGGCACTCCTTGCGGTGTTTCGTGCCACGCAAAACCACCCCGCCGTGCAGTCGTCCTGCCGACATAACCAGAATCATCTGTGTTCTGGTCTCGGCTGCTTTTTAATTAGATGCAAAAGACCGCAGCGAAAGTTAGCGTCACAACCACTAAAGTTAGTCTCACAGGACTTTCGTCGGCTCATGACGCAGTGATGGTCCATTCGGCCCCCGTGGATGAGGGAATGGCGACCGTTGCAGGCTGCATGTATGAAGGTGATAAGGCGATTACAGCGTTCGATTTGATCTCGAGCTTTGAAACATCAGGCTTCCAAGCGACGCACCTCGGTAGAGCAGCTCGAATAATCAAGAACATGCTATCCTGGAGATTGGTGCAAGAGGACCTCACGGACGAGGAGCAAAACGAGCTGCATGCTGACGGCTGGAAACCCCCATTCTCCTGGGCGGTCCCAGAAGTGCGGAAAAAGACCAGAGCCACCATCTTTCTTTCATTCACGTCAAACATGATATCCTCTGGACTCAGGGAAGCCTTTGTCTACCTCGCGAAACACAAATTGGTCGACGTAAGAATGCCTCGCCCCCCCCCCCTTACTAGCTC